GAGCGTTGTTGTTGTTGAGGGGCCGGTTTTGGCGGCCCCCCAAACCGCTTGAGAGCGAGCCTCATTTTCAATGGAAATGCAGCCGGCGCCTCGGCGAGAGCGCCAGGGCGCCTGTAAGGGGTCCAACAATAATTGCTCAGTATTTAACATTCAACAACAACAACAACAACAACAACAACAACAACAACAACAACAACAACAACAACAACAACAACAACAACAACAACAACAACAACAACCACAACCACAACAACAACAACAACAACAACAACAACAACAACAACTACTACAACAACAACAACAACAACAACAACAACAACAACAACAACAACAGCAGCAGCAGCAGCAGCAGCAACAACAACAACAACAACAACAACAACACTAATCATTTGTATGACTGTTCGCTCTTATCTGCTCGCGCGTACCTCACCACGTATATCCCCAACCCCCGATACCCACCCTCTTCGTCTTCGATCGTACCCCCTCTGGGGGGTACATCTTCCTGACCTGCCACGTGTATTGGGCGCAGCCCCTAAAACAGCAAGAGGAGTGAGAAAGGAGAGGGAGAGAGAGAATGAGAGGGAGCACACGGGGCTACTCTGGGGCCACGAAGGGCAGCGAGGGGGCCTCTGAAAGCACGAGCGACTGGGGGCCACGAAGAGCGTATATATGGGCCACAAAGGGCGGCGAGGGGCCGCAGAGGGCAGCATCGGGGCCACGCAAGGCAGCGACTGGGCCACAAGGGGAGGGGCCACGAAGGGCAGCAATGAGGCACAAAGGGCGCGAGCGAGCATGGGGTACGAAGGCATGACCCTGACGGGCGGGCCGAGCGGGCGGATCGATCGTGAGTTCTGCGTGATTAGCAAAGAAGTTTCCAGCGAGAGAGCGATTCCTAAGTAAAGTTGGGGAAATACCCAGCGAACGCGCGATTCCTGAATTGCAAGAGCGCGGCGCCTGAGTAAATTGCGAAGACGTCTTAGGCGGGAGCGCGATTCGTGAGTAAATCGCGAGGAAGTCTCAAGCGGGAGCGGGGGACCGGAATAAATTTCGAAGAAGTATCTAGCGGGAGCCGTTGTTGTTGTAAACGGGGGGGTCGGGGGCCCAGTTTGAGGAGGAGGACTTTCCCTGATAAAAAAGGTGCGGGCGCCGGGAGGGGCACTTCAATTGAAAAAATGCATTGTGCACCAGACAGGGGGATCAACAATAATTACTGCAGTAATGAGAGTTCAACAACAACAACAACAACAACAACAACAACAACAACAACAACAACAACAACAACCCTTCTACCCTCATGCGCGATGTTTCCACACGAAGCATGCATGCATCATGGTAACCATCCACATCATGGGGGACTCTTGTTCTATAGCGGGGTCCGTTACTCCCATTCCCAGATCTCCTGCCCAATGAGGTCTTGCGAACACCTCCTCCGAGGAATTTCTACATATCCCGCCTCGGAAACACATGCCCGCGCCTTGCTACGCCGATGCGAGACCGTCAGTCGAACCCCAGCGAAGGGTAAAGCACAAGGAAGTATCGAACGACAGGGTTGCCTTGGTGGGGATGGGGGCTGTCGGCGGTGAGGCAAGAACCTAGCCCTGAATAAAAAAGGAGGAAGTCTCGAGCAAGGCTGCTGCTGTTGCTGGGAGCGGCGCCAATGCTGAAGAGAGTAGGGCGCCAGTCCAGCGTAAAAAAAACGAAGTCTCGAGCGGGAACGCTGGTTTTGTTGGGACGGCGGCTTTCGGCGGCGAGGAGGAACACCGCCTTGAGTAAGAAGGGAGAAAGCATCGAGCAGGAGCTGTGGTTTTGTCCGGACGGGGGCTGTCGGCGGCGAAGAATAGCACCGTCCTGAGGAAAAAGAAAAGAAATCTCGAGCGGGAGCGTTGTTCTTGCTGGGAACGGCGCCAATTCAAAAGAGACTAGGGCGCCAGTCCAGCGTAAAACGGAAGGAAGTCTCGCGCGGGAGCGCTAATTTTGTCGGGGCGGCGGTTTTCGGCGGCGAGGAGGAAGACCGCCTTGAGTAAGAAGGAAGGAAGCATCGAGCGCGAGCCGTGGCTTTGTCGGGACGGGGGTTGTCGGTGGCGAGGAACGGCACCTTCTTCAGGAAAAAGGGAGGAAGCCTCGAGCAAGAGCGTTTTTCTTGCTGGGAGCGGCGCCAGTTCAAAAGAGAGTTGGGCGCCAGTCCAGCGTAAAACGGAAGGAAGTCTCGGGCGGAAGCGCTGGTTTTGTCGGGGCAGCGGTTTCCGGCGGCGAGGAGGAGCGCCGCATTGAGTAAAAAAAGGAAGCCTCGAGCGGGAGCGTTGTTTTTGCCGGGGTCGGCGCCGATGAGAGAAAGACTAGCGCGCCAGTCCAAGATAAAACGGGAGGAAGTCGCGAGCGGGATCGCTGGTTTTGTTAGGACGGTGGCTTTCGGCAGCGAGCAAGAACACCAGCCCTGAGTAAAAAAGGAGGAAGGGTCATGCGGAAGCGTTGTTGTTGTTGGGGGGCCGGTTTTGGTGGTCCCCAAACTGCTCGAGCGTGAGCCTCATTGTCAATGAAAATGTAGCCGGCGCCTCGGCGAGAGCGTCAAAGCGCCTTTAATGAGTCCAACAATAATAATTGCTTAGTAGTTAACACTCAACAACAACAACAACAACAACAACAACAACAACAACAACAACAACAACAACAACAACAACAGCAGCAGCAGCAACAGCAACAGCAACAGCAACAACAAGAACAACAACAACACCAACAATAACCACAACAACAACTACTACGACTACTACTACTACTACTACTACGACAACAACGACGACGACGACGACGACGACGACGACGACGACGACGACGACAACAACAACAACAACAACAACAACAACAACAACAACAACAACAACAACAACAACAACAGCAGCAGCCACAACAAAAACAACAACAATAACAAAACAACGACGACGACGGCGACGACAACAACAACAAAAACAACAACAACCACAATAACAACAACAACACGAACAACAACAACAACAACAACAACAACAACAACAACAACAACAACAACAACGACGACAACAACAACAACAACAACAGCAACAGCAACAGCAATCAGTTTAAGACGGTTCGCTCTAACTGGCACGCGTGTCTTGCACTCTGCGTCTTCGATTGCACCCCCTTTCGGAGGGAATATCTTCCTTCTCGGCCACTGACTGAAGTGCGAGAAAATCTCGAGCGAGAGCCGTTCCTGAGGAAATCGGGGCCCTCTCTGGCCAGGGGCTCTCGGATACCCATGGGGAACTATCGAAGGGGCCCCCTTGTCACCGTGTCTGGGCCTCCACCAGTTTGCTTGAATTGCGAAAAACTCTCGGGCGAGAGCGCCGTTCCTGAGTTCGGGGGCCTTCCTGGCCAGGAGCTCGTAAGGTATCGAGAAGAAGCCCTTGTCGTGGATGGGCCTCCGCCAACTTGACTGAATTGCGAGGACGTCTCGAGCGAGAGCGCCGTTCCTGAGTTCGGGGGCCTCTCTGGCCAGGGTGTCTCGGGGTACATTGTAAGGAAATATCGAGCGGGAGCCGTTGTCGTCGTAGCTGGGCCTCCAAGGGCCCACAGACGCAAGCCAACGCTCGCGCGGGAGCCTCGTCTTCAGAGAAAATGTAGCCAACGTCGAGGCGAGAGCGAACCCTTTCTGGAGATCAACAATAACTCTTCTCTAGAAATGAAATGATCATCATCATGAACAACAAGAATAACAACACCAATAATAATAAGAATAATAATAATAATAATAGCATTAATAATAATATTCATGATAATAATGATAATAATAATAATAATAATAAAAACAGCAACAGCAGCAGCAAAAAACAACAACAACAACAACAACAACAACAACAACAACAACAGCAACGACAACAACAGCAACAACAACAACAACAACAACAACAACTACTACTACTACTACCACACCTACACCTACAACAACAACAACAGCAACGACAACAACAACAACAACGACGACAACAACAACAACAACAACAACAACCATTTTAAGGCTGTACGCTCTTACTTGCCCGCGAGTCATTCAACACGTATACCCTACACCCTCGATACCCGCCCTCTTCGTCTTCGATCACACCCCTTTCGGGGGGATTATTTCTCTTTGCTGGGGCCGGCGGGCTTAGACGTACGGGCAAACCGGAACGGGCGGACAATCCTTCGGGGGCGTACATCTCTCTGCCCGCCATTGGAATTGGCGCGGGCCCTGCAAGAGGAGGAGGGGAAGAACGAGGGAGAGTGGGAGGAAGGGGAGGGGGAAGGACGAAGGAAGAGGGAAGATACCACGTTGTGAAGGCGTCCTTGGCGCGTGCGTGGTTCCTGAGCGCCGAAACGCAATTCCAGAATAATTTGTGAGGACGTCGCACGCGAGAGCGCAGTCCTGAGTACATTGTGAGGAAATCTCGGGCGGAAGCGGGGGCCCTGACTAAGTTGCGAGGAAGTCTCAAGCGGGAGCGCCGTTCCTGAGCAAATCGCACGGAAGTCTCAGGCGGGAGCGGGGGTCCTCACTAAATTGCGAGGAAGTCTCAGGCGGGAGCGCCGTTCCTGAGTCAATTGCGCGGAAATGTCAAGCAGGAGCGGGGGTCCTGAGTAAAATTCGAAGAAGTCTCAGGCGGGAGCGCCGTTCCCACGTAAATTGCACGGAAGTCTCAGGCGGGAGCGGGGGTCTTGATTACATTGCGAGGAAGTCTCAGACGGGAGCGCCTTTCCTGAGCAAATTGCGCGGAAGTCTCAGGCGGGAGCGGGGGTCCTGAGTAAAAATCGAGGAAGTCTCAGGCGGGAGCCGTTGTTGTTGTAGCCCGGGGGGCAGGGGCACAGTTTGAGCAGGAAGACTTTCCTTGAGAAAAAACAAGGTGCGAGCCCTGGGGGTGGCACTTCAATCGAAAAAAAAACAATGTGCACCGGTGGGGGGGGATCAACAATAATTATTCTTCAAGAATGAAAGTTCAACAACAACAACTACTACTACTACTACTACTACTACTACTACGACTACTACTACTACTACTACTACTACTACTACTACTACACCTACACCTACACCTACAACTACAACTACAACTACAACTACAACACCCACAAAAACAAAAACGCGCTTGGGTGGGGACTAGGGACGGCGACGGCGGCGACGGCGACGAGGTCTCGGGATGTCAGAGTCGACGCCCGTATCACCTGCCCAGGGTGCGCTCTGGCCAGCGCTCCGATGGGAAGATCTGGCCGCGGCCTCAAAAGCTCCCCCGAGGCCCCAGGGCGGCGCGGAGCGCGTCCGGAAACCTCGACAACGGCTCTCCCACCGATCCTGGATCCTCCGTCGATATGGACCCTCGATCGACCCTGGACCCTCGATCGACCCTGGACCCTCGATCGATCCTGGGCCCCGAACGAAGAGCAGTACACATCGACCCTGTACCCTCGATCGGCCGCGGCGGGCAGCGGCAGCGGCAAGGACGGGATCCGGGAACGAAACGTCGACACCCCGGGCATGCCCGGAGATGTGCGTTCTGATCAGGATTTCGAGGAGATCCCAGCCGTGGCCACGAGGCGCCTCCCCGAGGCCCAGAAAGCGCGGACCACTTCCAGAGGCCTCGATCATGGATCATGAAGCGATCCTGCACCTCTGATTTGTCCTGGGCCCTCGATGGATCCTGGGCCCTCGAACGGTCCTGGACCATCCATCGACGGGGCGGCGGCGGTGGGCCTCTGCGTCTGCGACAAAAAGTTGACCGCGAGGCGGCTGTCCGCGCCCAGCAGGTCGTTCAGGGCGTCCTACCGATTCCAAACACACTTCTTTGTGTACAGATACAAGACTGCAGTGGCACTTCGCGCCATGCACCTTGGTCCTTCAAATTTCGCACGCGCGCGGCGTGCGTGCGCGTGCACATGCGCGCGCGGATATGTGCACGCATGTAATACACGCGCACGTGCATGCACGCCATGTATATAGTATTAGATAGACATACATACATACATACATACATACATACATGCATGCATGCATGCATGCATGCATGCATGCATGCATGCATGCATGCATGCATACATACATACATACATACATACATACATACATACATACATACATACATACATACATTACATACAATACATAAATACATGCAGACGTACATACATACATACATACATACATACATACATACATACATACATACATACATACATACATACATACATACATATACATGCATGCGTGCGTGCATGCATGCATACATACATACATACATGCATACATACATACTTACATACATACATACATGCATACATGCAGAATGTATACATACATACATACATACATACATACATACATGCATGCATGCATGCATGCATACATACATGCATGCATGCATACATACATACATACAGACAGACAGACAGACAGACAGACAGACAGACAGACATACATGCATACATACATACAGGCAGGCAGGCAGACAGGCAGACAGGCAGACAGACAGACAGACAGTCCGACATATACATATACATATACATATACATATATGTGTATACGCATATGCGTGTGTGAACAGATCGATGCAATACGTATATACATAGATATACGCGTATATATCCACGCTTGCGCAATCATATGTATCATGCCTAATTGGGCCATTCTACATGTGCACATTTCCATGTCTATATACATGTACGCGGTCGTGGCCACACAGGGGTGGGGGGGGGGCCAAAAACACAGTGAAGAGCTCGCGAGTGCCGAAAGACTTGGGTGCGAGACTGCATGGAGAACACGGCAGAATGTGGAACGGCGACCTGGGCTCACCAATGACCGTGCCTTAGGGACTCTGGGAGAAGCCGTGTGAGGGCCTTGGAGACCTCGGGACCGTGTCGCAGCGGGGGTCGACGCTGAAGTTGCTTTGCGCGGCAGTGCGCTCTTGGGAGGCCTCGCGTTCAGATTGTTAACGCCACGCCTCCCAGAGCCATCTGAGGGCCTCTGTGGGACATGGTGCAGTCCCGTTATGGCTTGGGGCCCTCTTGGGGCGCGTATTGGCTCTGTTGCGCTGTCGTGGGGTCATGTTCGGGCTCCTGGCCTGCTTTGGGCCTGTCTTGGGGACCTTTTCGGGCGTTTTCGAACTTCTTGGGGTCATTGCGGAATCTTTTGGGATTCTTGGGGGCCTCTTAGGGCTTCCTGAGGGCCTCTTGGGGGGGCCTCTTGGGAACCTCCTGGGGCCTCCTGGTGCCCTGTCGGGACTGTCTGTGGGCCTCTTGAACCAGTTTGGGGCCCTCTTGGAGGTCTGTCGGGCCGTCTTAAGGTGATCTTGGGGGCCTCGTGGGCCGTCTTGGAGCGTCGGGGAGCCGAAAAGGGAAATCCCCCACTAACCAACGGAAAATCAATTTATGTTGCCTCGTGGGACGTCTTGGGAGGACTGGGAGGCTGCTCTGGGAGGCCTCTTGGGACGTCTTGGAGCGAGCTCGCACTTCTGTGGGATCCTTGCGGTGGGACTCTTGAGAACCTCTGGGGGCTTCCTGGGGGCCTCTTGGTGGCCTCTGGGGGCCTCTTCGGGGCCTCTTGGGGGCCTCCTGGGGCCTCCTGGGGCCGTCGGGACTGTCCCAGGGCCCCCTTGGGCCAGTTTGGGGCCCTCTTGGAGGTCTGTTAGGCCATCTTAGGGCGATATTGGGGGCCTCGTGGGCCGCCGTGTAGCGTCGGAAAACCGAAAAGACGAGAACTCCCAAATCCCCCACTAACCCACGGAAAATCTATGACGTTTGCCTCTTGGAGCCCTCTTGGGAGTGCTGCTGGAGGCCTCTTGGAACGTTTTGGAGCGATCTTTGGGGTATGACACCTCCGTTGGGGTCGTCGTCGACAGTCTTGGGACTCTCTCGGGTCGTTTCAGGAGCGCGCCGGAACGTCGTGCCCTCTGGGCCCGTCTTCGGGCTCTCGTGAGGTCCTCCCAGGTCGTCTGGGGGCTGCCCGAAAGGCCCGGGGTGGGCCAAATTCGTAAGGGGGGGAGGGTGTTTTCTCCGGGGTCCCCAGCCCTATTAAGAAGAATAGGAATATATTGAATACTATAATACAAAATCATATCTGATCACATGTTTTAATCTAACGCATATAATATACAATGCTGTGTCTTAATATATGATAACACAATATGCGGCTGGAAAATAGAATGTACAGCATGCTAGAATACCATATAACGTTTTATACGATGCAATAGGCAATGCTAACATGCAACACAGTATAATATGATAGGATATGAAAGAATAGATTATGTGTTCATACAACATAATTCAAAATGGTATGTTATAAGATGGCATGGTATGCTAAAACTTATAAGCTATATGGAGTACGATCGAAAAAATATTGGGTAAGGGATATAGCATGACATAACACAATGTAATACAACAACTAATTACACTATATATACATAATATCGGAAAAAAAAACTAATATCATACAATCGACTGTAAGATAATGTAACATGATATGATACCATACAATGTATTTCATTACACTTACATATGATGTAATAGATCATGCTGTGATACGAAGCCATGTACTACAATGTAAAATAAAATAAACTGAAATACTACCATATGACATAATATTATACAATACCCTGTAACATGATTTGATAATCATATGAGCTACTGGGCAATACAATGTAATATCATGTCGTATAGTATAATACAATGTGGTAGGATATACGATGAAAAGACATGACAATGCAATCGAATGCAATACAATACAAATGGTTATAACGTAATACAGCATAGCGTATCTCATCAAAGAATAAATGACAATATGTATAGCATAGCAGAGCATGAAATAACATCGTATTCCGTGCACACACATATATATATACATATATACATACATACATAAATGTCACACATGGCCAATGTGCTGTCACAAAGAACGCCAAATCAAACCAAGCGCTGTTTTCTGGCCGCAAAAATACCGGTTGTGTATGATGTGCCGGAGCAGAAGCACACAAAACATACGACTGATTCACATCGCGATGACGTCAGAAGAGCTAAGACCTCTATGGAGTACGAGCTGTCAAAGATCTGCCCGATTTCTGGAGTCGGCGCTGGACGGACCCCTCCGCTGGCGCGCGGAGCGCGCCAGGGGCAGCGCCAGAAGCGCCGCCAGCGGAGTCCAGCATCGACCCAAGAAATCGGCGCGGACCTCCGAGAGCTTACGCTTGTCTGCTCTTCTATACATGGCGCGGGCGTCGGTTTCCGACACCGCGCGGACCGCTCGACCACGAACGATCGCAGCTTCCCGCGAGCGCAAATCGCTCGACGTCGGCCGATCCCGGGCCACATCCCTGACTGCCCGCGCTGGGACCGCTGCCGCGCCGACGCGGCACGAATGTTTAGTCGGAAGGTCCACCAGGACTCCTTGGAGGCACGCGGCAATGATCTCGATCAAACGATGTCGTCTTCTCGTGCGGACTGCAATCTCGATCCACACATCTCGTCTTCTCGTACGGGCAGTCCTTACCGTCGAGCGTGGGAAAGAGGCCAGAACGTCGTTCGCATGTCTTGGATCAACGTCGAACCCTCCCCGCACCCCATCGCGCTTCGCGCGACCGGAAGGAACGTGGGGAGAAGGTCCATCGGCGACCGAGGAGATCCGAGTGCACGATTATGCAAGTAGACAAGCGCGTTCCACTACTCGCAAAATAGCTACTCGCAAACGGCCTGGATACGTAGCAGCGAGGCAAGCAGGCTCCGCTCCCTCGAGCAGCAGCTGCTGTGTAGACGCTTGCGAGTAGACACTCCGCGAGCACTGGAACGCGCTCGGTGAGCGCAATGTTCTTGAGCGCGTCGCTCGGCCCCCCGCTCCGACGTGCTGGGCAATCAGCTAAGTACGGGCCACCACCCCCACGGCTGGCAGCGTGCGCAAGAGGACAGCTAAGGCCCTAGGCCCTAGTAGGCGGCCCTGGGCAACAGTGATCGTTGGTGCGCGGACTGCCGGCCGTTGCCTGCGATGCGGCTGCGGCGGCTTGCGCTTGGTCGGGCATGTCCCCCATACAGGCGGGTTTCGGACGAAATATAAAAAAAAGTTCAAATTATACACCAGAAACGATCAAAAATAGTCCAAACATCGTCCCCAGATTATTGTTTGACTATTTCTGAATAGATCTCCTGTAGAGGGACAGGCCCGATCTAAAACTTGCGTGCTCAAGCAATGCCCTCCCCCCCAACGCGCTCCCTGAAAGCCGCGCTCACAAGGACACCCCATCGAGAGGTCCCTCCTGCGTGTGGCCGACACGAGGTGCAACCCTCGATCGCGTGATGTTCAGGCTGCCCTCGCGGGCAAGACAAAACTCGGCGGCTGGCGAGACGAGGGGAGGGAGAGAAGCGAGAAGGAGACGGCCTTCTCAGAGGGACGCGGGGCGCCTCAGGAGCCCCCCCCGGCCTTCTCAGAGATGCTTGTGTCTTCGGGGAAGGCTTCTGGACAAGCGCGTTCCACGACTCGCAAAGTAACTACTCGCAAAGTAACTATTCGCAGACGTGTGCATTTTTCGGACGTTGCAAGTAGGCACTTTGCGAGTAGTGGACCGCGCTCGGTGAGCTTCAACAGCTGCGCAGAAGGCCGGGGCACTTCCGAGCCTTGCACATTCCCCTCGAGCTGGCCGCCGAAAGACTGCACAGAAATCCGAGTGCACACAGTTAATGTTCAGCGCGCCCCTGCATCGATGGACAGGGGCCGCCTCCTCCTCCTCCTCCTCCTCCTCCTCCTCCTCCTCCTCCTCCAACTCCTTCACCTCCTCCTCCTCCTCCAACTCCTCCTCCTCCTCCTCCTCCTCCACCTCCTCCTCCTCCTCCTCCTCCTGCCTCCCTCCTCCTCCTCCCCTCCCCTCCTCCTCCTCCTCCTCCTCCTCCTCCCTCCTGCCTCCTCCTCCTCCTCCTCCTCCTCATCATCATCCTCTCTCCTCCTCCTCCTGCTCGTGTCTCCTCCTCCTCCTCCTCCTCCTCCTCCTCATCATCATCATCATCATCATCATCATCCTCTCTTCCTCCTCCTCCTGCCTCCCTCCTCCTCCTCCTCCTCCTCCTCTGCCTGCTCTTGTCTCCTCCTCCTCTTCCTCCTCCTCTCCTCCTCCTCCTCTGCCTCCTCCTCCTCCTCCTCCTCCTCCTCCTGCCATCTCCTCCTCCTCTTCCTCCTGCCTCCTTTTGCCTCCTCTTGCTTCCTCCTCCTCCTCCTCCTCCTCCTCCTCCTCTTCCTCCTCCTCCTCCTCCTCCTCCTCCTCCTCCTCCTTCTCATCCTCCTCCTCCTCGTCCTCCGCCCCCAGCTTCGACGCGCCAAGTGGCCAGGCCTTGGCGCCCGCGCCCAGCAAGGGGTGCAAGCTTCGACCAGTACTTTACGACAAACGTGCAGCTTTTGCAGACACCCGCGTGCTGTCTGAGTGGCAACAGCACTGATTTGTTTCAGGCGCAGTCGAAGGATTGAGGGCCTGCTGGCGCTACTCTAAGGCGAGCTGTCTACCAGATTTACCTTATCCCCCGTGGCCTGTGGCAGGACACGGCCTCTGAGCCGATCCAGAGTAGCGTAGCGTAGCAGCTTTCGTGCGGATGGCCAGAGATACCGATGCCGCTACTGCCCGGACCTCTCCCGGGGCACGTTCTGACCAGAATCTCGGGTCGTGGCGACGAGGGCCTGCCAGGAGGCCTGGAAAGGCAAAAACGAGGCAGGGGCGGCGGTGTCGGTACCTTTCCCTCCTCTGAACTATTGAATGATACCCCACTGCCACTTTCCAGCCCTCCGGAGTCCTCGGCGCCCCTCAGGGGCGGGATGTCGGTGTACTCCGCGGGGACGGTGAAGGGCCGCAGCCTGTCCAGTGCGCTCGCCGCGAGCACGTCCGCGGCGCGATCGCAGAACAACCCTGGCGGCGCCTCGGCCCCCGCGGCGTCCACCTCTGGAGCGAGGCGCGCGGCTGAGCCGCGCCGTGTTTCGGCACATCGACGGCAGCGCTAACCTTGAGATCCTGGCGTCACAGATTTGCACCACATGCGATTTTGCCTCGCTTCTGGCCCTGGGACCCTCACGGATCGATCCGGCTCGGAAAAATGCAGCAGAAAAATGGGGCCCAGGGCTCCGGCCGAGCTGCTCTACGATGCTGCATGTTCCGCGACGTCGGATCTTAGGGTATGGCGTGACACGCAGGTGGGCAGGGAGGCAGCAAGGGGGACGTCGCGATTCAACTCACGCACATGGCCGGTGGATGCCATGACAATGGACACCCTAACAATCCGATCATTGAATTAGGAATGAGCTTTGAATGTTCAACATGTTCTGGAAATCCTAAAAGCATGTGTTTTACATGTATAAAGCATATTTGAAAAATGTTTCCGACATCCGGAAACTATTTGGTAACATTAGGAGCAGAAAAAACGCCGTAAACTTAAATTTTTTGCGCTCACCACGGATTTCTTGGATCCGCGCCGGACCCCCCTCCGTGGCGCGCTCCGCGCGCCAGGGGCGGCGCCGGAGGCGCCGCCAGGGGGGGTCTAGCGCGGATCCAAGACATCCGCGCGGAGCGCCAAAAGTTTGTGTTTATGTGTTTTTCCTTCGAAACATGCTTCCTCTCCAGTGATTGTCGTCCTCCACAACGCACAGCCGACGTTCCTGGCCCACGCGTCGACGAGAGACGCTCCGCGGCCGGGCCGAGGCCCACTGCACACGCAGCAGATCTCGCAACTCCCCCGAGATCCCAAGGCCGGGCATGTTCTCCTGCGGGCGGATTTCTGTTGGCGAGTAATAAAGCTTCTAGACGCTTCGCGTAACACGATCAGCTACATAATCAGCTACAACGCTGGGGTCGGGCGTGCGAGAAAGGCGGCAGTGGCGACGGGTATGTCGCTGCTGCGATAGATACGGGACGCGACGTGGGAGCCCGACGTAGTGAGCTACAACGCTGCAATATGCGCGTGTGGGACAGGCGAGCAGTGGCAGCGGGCTGTGTCGCTGCGCAGCGAGATGTGGAAGACGACGCTGCAGCCAGACGCTGTCAGCTACATGCCGAGATCGGCGCGTGTGGGAAGGTTGGGAAGGGGGTGCAGGCTCTGTCGCTCCACAGCGAGATGCGAGGGGCCAAGTTTGAGGCAGACGTCATCAGCTACTGCGCTGGGATCAGCGCGTGTGGCGGAGGCTGGAAGTGCCATGACACACTGATCTTACACAAGATGACTGAGGCGAGCAACTTCTCGCCGCCAGGCAGGCGGGGGGGCTGCTGTGGCCCACCTCCTGCCCCTGGGCAGGAAGTGGGCCACAGCATCCCCCCCGCCTGCCGGGCGGTGGGCGCGACCTAGCCTGGTCACAGCTTTGTCACACTACAGACTCACAAACATCAGCTGCGGTTAGCTGCGACCCTGGAGGACCACAATCGATACTATTTGCTCTTGAGCGGCGGTTAGCTGCGACCCTGGAGGACCCAAGAGAATGACCATGTCCCCTGACCCACGGGTTGGGGGCCCGGTGGAGGGGCGGGGCGTTGCTTCCCCTTGCCTCTCCTCTCTCGGGCCAGGCGGGTGCCCCCCGCCCTTGGCCCCGGGGCTCGCCAGGCGTACCGACAGACGCCGGTGTTGTTGCCCCCCCCTCCCCAGGGCCGCCCTTGTCCCTCGCTGGTCGTGGCCAGACTCCCCACTTTCAGCGGCGGTTAGCTGCGACCCTGGAGGCCCACGTGGTGCGTGGTGGTGGACGTACCCGAGTCTTGCGAGGATGTGCGCAAGCTGCGGGCAGGTCGGGACATGGCATCCGTCGGCTCTCGTGTCTGCCCCAGCGCAGCTCCCCCCAGGTCGCTCACCCAATGGCAACGTTACACTTTGCTGGTACATGCGCCACGTGCCCCGGAAGGTACAGCCTGCTCTGCATACTTGAGGATATGTTGTCCCTGGTTCAGTTTGGCGTACTTCAGGCGGCAGCACTACCACCAGTGCAGCCAATTGAATGGCCATGTCCCCTGACCCACGGGTTCGGGGCCAGGCCGAGGGGAGGGGCGTTGCTCCCCCTCGCCTCTCCCCTCTCGGGCCTGGCGGGTGTCCCCCGCCCTTGGCCCCGGGGCACGCCAGGCGTACCGACAGACGCCGGTGTTGTTGCCCCCCCCCCCCTCCCTGGGCCGCCCGTGTCCCTCGCTGTCCGTGGTATGGCTTATCCCTTTCAGCGGCTGTTAGCTGCGACCCTGGAGGCTCCCGTGGTGTGTGTTGGCGTTTCCTGAGTCTTGGGTGGAAGTGCCAAGAGGCGGACAGGGTCAGGACATGGCGTCCGTTGGCTCTCGTGTCTGCCACAACGCAGCTTCCCCCAGGCGCATCGCCGAATGGCATCGGTACGCCTTGCTCGCACTGGCGCCACGTGCCTCGGGAGGTGCAGCCAGGTCTGTTCACTTAGGGATATGCTTGTCCCCGGTTCAGTTTGGCGTCCTTCAGAAGGCAGCACTACCACCAGCGCAGCTCCCCTTACTCTTCCCCGCTGGCGATGCTCACCACGCCAGCTGGTCTTCCCCCCCTCACTCAAAGGCCTGACGCCGTGCCGGCACGCACTGCGTGGCTCACAGTCGCTTGGTTCCCCCTTGCACTATGGGGTGGTCTGACGGGTGTTGGTATCGCCACGGAGTGGTTCAGCCTTCCGCAGCAGCTACAGCACCCCAGGCTCACCATCAGCTTTTCCCAGTTGCGTGGCATCACGGTTTCCGACAGCTCAGTCCCCTTGGCTAGCTCACGTCGTCATGGCGTTTGGAGCCTGGCGCCCCACCGGCGACTCACTCCACTGGCCTCCCACTTGCCCCCACTCAGATTGACGGACTTGGTTATCCTGGTTCACGTCTCATACTGCGGCAGGCACCGAATTCCATGACATTTTGTCTGTGCACGTGCTCGAGCTCTCAGGATACCCCTGCCGTCAGCTCCCCTTCAGCTTCGCGGCTGCTTTGTGAGCGGGCCGGCCGGCCTGTGCCTGTTGTAGCTAATTAGCCTTTTTCGTGCCCCGGACTTTGCTTTTGCCGCCTGACCCTTGTCTCGCGGCCGCGACCAAAAAAAGTAACCCCACCAGCCCATCCCGAAACGATGCCCAGAGGAATTGCCTCGATCAGGGAAGTGGGCAGCACGCAGAGGAAGGGTCCCCCAGTGGAGGCCTCTTGGAGCGTCTCCTCCCATATCCTCAGGTCGGGCATGTCCTCCTACGGGCAGCTGTTAGTAGCGTTCTTTTATCCAAAACATACTCCCGAAAATGAACAAAAATATCAGGAAAATCGTCCCCAGACCATTTTGTCGACATCTTAAACTTTCCTCCTGTATGGGGGACACGTCCGACCTGACCCGACCCCCAGGCCCCCTCCCCTTGCGTCCCGCTCGAACCTCGGCCTGCAGCATGGCCCACTGGGCGCTGGTGCGCCTGTGGAGGCCTCCCAAGATGGGGTCGCGACAGACGGGCCCGGAGGATCGCGCCGCATCGCCGATGCGCCGCCGATGCGTCGCCGATGCGTCGCCGATGCGTCGCCAGTGCCTCGCCGATGCCTCGCCGATGCCTCGGCGAGGGTCACCAGCACCGTCCGCGTGGACAAAGTCGGGCTCCGCACCGGGCGGCACCGCCGCTGCACCCAGCGATGCGGCGCCATCGACCGACCCCTTTCTGTTCGGGCCCCATGTGTGAGGCCTGCAGCCTGCGGGCCTCCTCCAGCGCCGCATCGGGGTCCTCGCGCCACGGGTTGCCGCCTGCACACGAGCTCCCGCAGGCCCCAGCCGCTTCAAGACATGCCCCCCCCCCGAGGCGTTTTGTCCACCCCCCGAGGGGGCCAGCTCTCCGTCCCGGGATCAGAGAACCAGCTCACGCAGCCGATCTTCCCAGCGCCCCCTGGGCGCGTGAGGTGCCAGCGTATCTGGAAAAGCGCCTGGCGGCGGAATCGAACCCCGCTGCATGCAGCCGATCTCACACACACACACACACACAGAACCTTTTTGTTTGCGTCGGCGGCTAGGCAGAGTGACTGCGCTGGCGGAAGAGCACAGGGTGGACGAACAATTGCGAATTAAGCCGCAATGCACGGGGGAAGACACACACACACAGACACAAACACAGACACAGACACAGACACAGACACAGACACAGACGCAGACACACACACACACACACACACACACACACACACACACACACACACACACACACACACACACACCCTTCCCGATCCCCTCCATCCGCCCGACCCGACGCATATGAGTGGCCATGGGGCCCAAAACTGGCCCAGAGAGCGCAAAATGACAAAGGCTGCCAGCGGGATCTGCCACCAACGAATCGGCAAGTCGGCTCGCCTCGGAGCGCGCGCTGGCCAACCTCGGCACGGAGCCGAGATCGGGTCGAATCGGCTGCGCCAGGGCTGCACGACGCCAGCCTCGTGCAGGCACCAGGCCGCACCGCATCGCTGGACTGTCGGAGCGAAAACGACACAGCAGGGCTGGACCTAAGCGTTACTTTTTTCGTGTGGTTTTCGTGTTGTGCTTGGTTTTGCTCTCCTTGTTTTCCTGTGCCTCCCTGCCAAAACGAATAACAAAAGACGGCCGAAGTCCAGCAAAACAGCCCTTCGGTCCAGCCCTGTGACACAGGTGGAGGAAAAGATACCGACGCCGCTGCAGTCGGACCTACAGTCGGGGTCCTGAAGAAGGAACCCTTTTGGTTGGGGAGGGGCTCCGCGTTCCTTAAGTGTTTCACAGCTTGCCTCAGGTGTTCCTTCTGTTTTCGATCGGAAATCGAAGCTTGACTTTATGGAAAAAAAGGGCCTCGTTCCTTATTTTAGGGTTCCTTAGGCCAACGCCCCAACTGTAGGCCGGAAGAGCATCCCTCGAGAACAATGAGGCCCTCCGTCGGCCCAGGCACGCAGCACAGCCGAGGGTGCCCTTTCCCGGGATGCGCAGAAGCATTCAACCAGCACGAAAAACACTGTCGGGCGGTTGCAAGAAGTACCCCTGTGGCCCAGGGTACCCCAGGATCCTCGGGGTGGCCCAGAACGTCTCCAGGGCGCCCCATCACGAGGCCCAGGGGGCCCCAGGGGCTCCAAAATGGAGCGAAAAGCTGGGGGCGCCTTGGGCCAGGGACGCTTCTAGCAACAGCCGACACTGGGGCACCATCCACGAACCGACCCAGATCTTATGCCTCGATCCGACTGCACTCGCCAGGCCTCCCCAGGAGCGACCGAGTCGTTGAGGCGAACCGTGCCGTGGCGCCGAGGGGCGGCGAACGGCCCAGAACTCCGAGACTTTGCTTTACGTTGCGCCCATCGTGCTTGAGGACCATCTCCCAGAAATAACTTCGAGCACCCAGATCGACTGCCAGGGCTCGACACGTGGAAACCCTCCAGCTTCTGTACTTTCGTGGTGCTCGAAATTCTTTCTGGCGGTCAAGGCTATAGTAGGCTGGAACATCATAAGCTTTGCTGTTTACAGCGTCGACCCTGAGAGGTCTAGACCCCTTCCCCGTGACGGCCCCTAGGCCCGGCGAGGGCCCCCAGAGGCCGAAAATGATTACCAGACGTCCGATGTGCCTCTTGCCACGGCGCGAGGAGGTCACGGGCCGAGATCGATGCAGATATCTAGAAGAAGAAAAAACGCAATAAACATAAGCTTTTGGCGCTCCGCGCGGATGTCTTGGATCTGCGCTGGGCCCCCCTCCCTGGCGCGCGGAGCGCGCCAGGGGCGGCGCCGGAGGCGCCGCAGGGCGGGCCCAGCGCGGATCCAAAAAATCCGCGCGGAGCGCCAAAAATTTATGTTCACGGCGCTGTTTCCTCTTCGAATATCGACCTGGACCCCGACTATGTTCGTACGACTTTGCGACTATTCTTGTATATTCCCCCTGGGGGCTTTGTCCTCTCTTGGCCTTGACGTGAGGCCCCTCCTTCTGCCTTCCCCCCTCTGTCAATTAAAGCTGTGCGCGGCCCGCTGAGCTTCGACCCGAAGAGGCTCGCTCTCGACCCGCGGATCAAAAATTGTATATGCCCCTTGCAAAGGGACAGGCCCGACTTAAGGACATCGACATGGACCCTGGCCGGCCGGCTCGCCACGTGGCCGGCCTGCACACGCGCAGGCGCAGGCGCCCGCGGAGCGCCGCCGGGGCAGCGGCGGCGCGACCCACGCGGCCTGCCGAGGCGGTGGCGAGCGGCGGCGGCGGCGGCGTCCTGGACGCTGGATCCTCCACCCAACATCGTTGATGACTCTTGGGTTTACACTGGTCCTCCTCCTCCTCCTCCTCCTCCTCCTCCTCCTCCTCCTCCTCCTCCTCCTCCTCCTCCTCCTCCTCCTCCTCCTCCTCCCAAACATATCCGCGCGGACCTCCGAGCTGTTGTGTTTACGTGATTATTCGCTCCCCTAAAACATGCTCGCATCGTGAGAAAGACACGGCGGCAAATTGTTCGCCGTGTTAAGCCTCTGAAGGGCCCTCGCCGGGCCAGGGAACCGTCCAAAACCACTCGGCGACCAAAACCCGGTCCTGGGCAATGGGCGGAGACGTCTGGGAATCCACGTATTGAAGAAAGCTGCCAGCCCTGTCGGCGCATGTGAGGGGCAGTCTGTCGTCCCCGTGCCGTCCTCAAACACGATTTTCATTCGACTTGCTCGTCCATTCCCGGAGACTTCCCCGAGACCCTCGTCGGCGCGCCGAGCTCGTCAACCAGAGGTGAATAAAGACAGGTCGCAATCGAAGTCGTGATGAAGCCAAAAAGAATCCCTTTCCCATTGATCCCTTCCCCTCCCGGTGGGGGGCGGTCCTGGGGGGAGCAAGGGGGGGGTCCTGAGGGGGGTCATTGGGTGGGGGTTCAGGCGGGTGTCCCTGGTCAGAATTCGGTCCCCCCCCCTGCCCTTTCCGTGGTGCCTTCGAGCGAAGTCGGCCCTCCTTCGGCAACTCAGGCGCAAGAGAATCCAAGAGGGCCCAGAGTCCCCCAAAAGATCGCTCCAAGACGCCCAAGACGGCCTCCAAAAGGCCCAAGACGTCTCCAAGACGCTCCAAGAGCATCAGCACTCCCAAGAGAGCCCCAAGAGGCAAGAATCGCAAAATTGGCGTATTTGTTTGCATGATATTCGCGTTCCTCGTTATCGGCTTACCGACGCTCGAAGACGGCCCAAGAGGCCCCAAAGCCCTCCCCAAGACAGTCTACGAGGCCGCCACAAAGGCGCAAAAACGGCCACAGAGGCCTGCAAGACGGCCCAAGCGGGCTCCAAGACAGTCGAAAAGGGCCCCCAGAACGTCCCAAAAGGAGCCCCAAAGGGCGAACACGAACTGACATGTCGAGCTCGCCGCCCCCAGAGGCTCGCGGGAGGCCCGAAGAGGCTCCCAAGAGGCCCTCAAGAGGTGCGCAGAGGCCCCCGAAAGGCCCCCAGGAAGGCACAAGACGCCCCCAGGAGGCTCCCAGGAGGCTCCCAAGCGGCCTCACAGCTGCTTCCAAAAGCCCCCGAGAGCCCTCCGAAGAGACCCCAAGAAGGACCCGTGAGGACTCTGACCAGCTGACCAGGCTCGGTGGCGGGATGGGCCACAGGTCACTACATCGCCCCAATGAAAGTTCCTGGAATTTTCATCACGACGCTGGCCGGCGGAAGTCGACGGAAGTAAAACGAGGCGGAAGACGGGGGAAGGCCGCCGGAAGGCTTGCCAATGTCAGCGGAAGTAAACGACGCCCCTTCCGAACCCCCTACCCCCGTAGAAGCCTAGCAATGTTGTCTTCCTCCGTGGTCCGGGCGGGATCCCGCCTGGCTTATTCCGCTTTAATATATAAGTTTAGTTCAGGACGATCAAAATCCCACCCATTAAAAATGGGGTGGACCAAAATCCCGGGCCGTTCACGGATCCCACCATGCTGGGATCGGCTCGAAGTAAGATGGGGCTCATAAGTTGCAGTATTATTGCCGTGTTGGGGTCGTCTTGAGGTCATCTTGAGATCATATCCCGGTCATGTTTGGATCACGCAACCATCGCGTGGTCATTATGAGGCCACCCTGGGTGCGCTTGGATCCATCTTGTTGCCATCGGGCCATCTCGGCGTCACGCGTTGCTCATGTGTTTCGTCATCTGCGAGTCGGCCTGAGACGGTCCAGAATCCATGGCGGGATCGCGTTGGGGTGGCATCATCCTGGGTCCTCTGGACGTTATCGTCCGTGGCCTGAGGCATTCCTGGAAGCATGTTGTGGCCATGGGACGTCTTGGGATCGCGTGCGTGCGAACGCTGAGCACGCGCGCGCGACTTTTCATCTTGCCGACGGGTTTACATACATATTATTCCTCTTGCGAGTTTCCAAGGAAACTCTTGTTGGAGCCAAGTATATGATCCAAGAGGGTCTGAAATCGCCTAAACGCCCCACGATAGCCCCTAGAGGGCACCCTCGAAGAGAGCCCAGAGAGGGCTCCACGGGTGCTCGCAAATGGTCCCCAACAGCATACAAGGGGTCCCCAACAGCATCATAGCGAGAGCCTTTGGTATAACACTGTCGAGGGCTGCTTCGGGAGCATTGTCGACACTATCTCTGCGCTTTCGGAATGAAACTGTTGGGAGCTATGTCGGGAGCCTTGGCGAGGCCCTCTTGGGGCCCTGTTAATTATACCCCCTTGCTGCAAGAAAGCCCCATGAAAGCCCCCAACCATATCGGGCCAAGAGCCTTGGGGCCCTCTTCGGGCTCGAAGAGCCTCTTCGTGCCTCGTGGGTCCCCCACGTGGAGCCTCACGGGACCCAAGGAATCCAGAAAGGGCTCCAACAGTCGTCCCATAGGGCCCCAAAGAGATCCGCAAGAGTGCCACGAGGGGGCTCCAATAGAACTCCGCGAAGGCCTCCAACAGTACCATTCCAAGAGCCTGTGATATGATGGTTCTGAGCATTGTTGCGGGCGTCTTCTTCGGGACCTCTCGGGGCCCTCAACGAGCCTCTTGGTATCCCTTCGAGCCCATCTTGGGGCTCGCGCGACCCTAAGAAAGCATGGAGGTGCTCCAGGAAGCCTCCAACAGAGCCCCAAGAAAGCTCCCAGAGCGCCCCAAGAGACTTCCAAGCAGGCCATCAACAGTATCATACAATGAACCTTTGGTATGGCTCTGTTCCCAGCTCTATCGAAACCCTCATTGACCCCTCTCACACCCTCAGACGGCCCAAGAAGGCCCCCAGACGGGCCCCATGATTGTGAGAAAGCCCACGAGTGGCCCACGAGAGCGGCCCAAGAGGGCCTGGCGTCCTGGTTGGCTGAGCGGCTAGCGGCCCATGTTTGATTCGAAAACGCACACAAGATCAGCAAAAGCATTGCAGAGCTTTTCACATGAGATCGCGTAGAAAAATGTGGCACCTGTCTGGGTTGGTTGTATAATCATATTTTTTTATATCAGGCCCTCTGGGCGCGGTATACATTTCCAGGACCTTTACTCGGGCCATCGTAGGCAAATCTTGGGTTTTCTTGGGGCCCTATCTGGGCGCTGGGAAGGCCGCTGAGGTCCCTTCAAGGCGCTC